CCCGCCCAAGTTGGCTCTCAGACAGGCATGGACGGCTTTAGTGGGAAAGGAGACTCTTCTTCTCTTGCATGAAGGTAAATGCTCCCTGCTGACATCGTGTAACTATTAGATCAGCAACCCTGATCCTCTACCACTTCTGGACTTCCAATGATGTGATCTAAACACTGTTACTGTTTTATCCACTTTGAATTGGATTTTCCCAGCTTTTGAAAGTGGAAAGTTACTTAACAGGTAGGTTCTTTTTTAAAATATATTTTATTGATTTCAGAGAGGAAGGGAGAGGGATAGAGAGAGAGAAATATCAGTGATGAGAGAGAATCATTGATTGGCTGCCTCTTGCACGGTCCCTATTAGGGATCAAGCCCACAACCTGGGCATGTGCCCTTGACCAGAATCAAACCCGGGACACTTCAGTCCTCAGGCGGACGCTCTATCACTGAGCCAAACTGGGCAGGGACACGTTTAGGTTTTTAATAGCTCTTATGAAACTGTTTTCTCATCCACACTATGACTGTTTTCTCACAACATTGCCTACCACCTTTTAAATTTGTGCCTCCTGATGGCCAGAAACTGAATCTCATGATTGCCTTGATTTGAATTTTGCTAATTACTAGTACAGGTGACTGCAATTACTTCTATTTACTGGATATTTATATTTTTCTTCTCGGTGGAATGCTTTTTACATCTACTCCTCATTTTCCTACAGAATTACTTGCATTTTCCTTATTGATGAGTTGAAACAACTTTAAAACTTTGGCTAGTAGTTGTCAGCGTGCTAGATGTATTGCAAATACTTTCTCCCAAGTACCTTAGTTTTTAACTTCATTCCATGATGAATTTTGTCTAAAGTTCTACAATGTTGATGACATTCAGTTCCTAATTTTCTCTTTCATGGCACATTTTGGGTGATGTGGCTCATTGAGTGAAGGCCAAAAGTTGTCTGTCTTTTGGCTCTTTGTCCAGGAATTTTAAACTTTAGGCATTAAACCTACAACCCTTCCTTAAATTTTGTACCAGGAGCTGAACAATTAAGGCTTTAGCTATTTTTGTTTTTTTGGTTGCACATGTGTCCAATTTGGTCAAAAGCTGTTTTAAATTTAGGGAAATTTAAATCCTTACCTTGGTCCTGTAGAGTTGGGTTCTTTTGTCTTAATGCGTTTAATGCTTCTGCCATTTTGGTGAGTAATTTATGGGTCATTTTTGTTAATTTGTCCTTCATTTTTACATGAGGGAGGGGAGGTTAAATAGCACATTGGCTCACACCCTACAATCTGGGTTTCATGGAGAGACTGGCTTCAGGAAGATGTGATGGTACAGCCCACAGGGAAGCAAGGCATATGCGAGGGGCTTGGGATGCCTGGGAGGGGGCAGAGGTTTGGTGCAGCTACATCCCCCCACCCCCACTGGTAATGGCTGCCCTGCACAGGCAGCTAGGATTTCCTTGGCATTTCCCCAAAACATCTGGAGTTCAAAGGGCCCATGCTCTTCTCAGTGGTTCACAGCACACATCACATTGCCCCCTTGGTTGAACAGAGGTGGGTACCGGTTGCCATGCCCAGGCCAGACCCCCAGCCCTGCTTGCAGGTGGCCCAGGGTAGGACCTGAGCTGCAGTGGCATTGGTCCTCTCAGAAGTCCCAGGGGAACTGGTGAGCCCCATGACAGGATTGGGGGTTGGGAGTTGTAGATTCTAAACCCAGTTCTACTATAAATTTGATTCTGTGTAGTTGTTAACTGTGGGTGCCAGATAACTTCTCCTACTTCACAATTCCTTCTACTTTGTTAGTTGTGACTGTCAGCTTGGTTACACGAGTAAGTTATTATAGAGACTGAGCCTCCATGACAGATTCTGGAGATTCCAGTGGTGAATGGTCACCCTCTCCCACCTCACCTGGTTCCCACGGATGGTCCCTCAACTCAATGAGGTCATGGGCAGGTGAAGTGAGCAAGCTAGCAGTGCATGTGACCAAGCAAGCATGGGTGATAATATTGGAGAGCTTGAAAATTAGAATCTGGATTCAGTGATCTCTTAAAAATTATTCTCATGTCTAGGATCTTTGGCTTAATGAGTACGTACTTGTAG